CAAAAGAGTAGCCTGTGTCTTTTAAATGCAGATGTCCTGCTGAATCTAGTCCTGAAGGAGAACAAACAGATCAGGACTAGATTCAGCAGGCCATCTGCATTTAAAAAAACTAACAAAGCTTTTTAGATGAAAAGTGAAACATTTTTAAAGAAAAAAACAGACAGTCCAGTTGCCTCTTGAAATTGCACCTTTGGGATGACTGAACCCATCGTATCAATTTCAGCTTGAAGAGGTTTATATGAAAGAAACTTAAATCATTATCTACTCCAGATTCTCTTTTTGTGAGTTACAGTAAAAAAAAAAAAACCTGAATGATGAGAGGGGTTAAAAAGCTACTCTGAATATGCATTTATTTTTTTTAATGCAATGTAACATCAAAATTGCAGGGAAAAGGTCAAAATGTACAGAACAGAATTGTCTCAGTATGAATGTATGATTTTTTTAAAAAAAGTTCAAAACCTGGGAATATCACCTATGTTTCTCCTTATTCCATTTCTTTTCACCAAGCTTCAGCAACAGACACTAAGCCTTTTTTCTTATATGAAATTAGTTGTTTCTTTGAAGTCACATTAAGAAAATGGTATGAGTTCATGTTTATTAAATTTAATATCTCTTTTTCATTTTAAGGTGGCAAAAGTTTTCCAAAACTTCAAGGTAAGTTATATGAATGGTATAAATCAAAAGTGGTGGTCTTGACTGCACAATCAAAGCCCATTCCCATTTTTATATATTGCAGATGTAAGGCAGATTAGATAAGGGAGTGGATCTTTGATTGTATAGACATAGCTACTGACTTAACTTTTTTTACTCATATCCTTTCCACAGTCTTTCCTGTATTAGATGTTAGTCAGGGGTTTCTTTAAGATATTGGCCAAGCAAAGGCTAAAAAGAAGGGGAAAAAACCAATTCCACAAATAGAGTTTAAAGGCATTGAAGTTGTCTAAATGCCTCCTTGTTGAATCAATATCTAGATTCTAATAATGTTTACTACTTAAATATAAATTCCATTAATTTCAAAGGAGTTGCTTGTATATACTTGATTAACATCACATCTCACATCCCATTTTGTACTTATACTTTCAATTAATTTTGGATCTAAGCTTTAATCTTTATTGTTGCACTCTGATGCTTCTTAAATGACTTACATGATGAATCAATGAAAGGAAAGAGGAAAATTGAGTGCATAAGATCAGTGAGTCAGTTTGGGTATTGCCTCTTCCTATTCCTTAGAAATTTCAAGCCCAGGCTAGATGCTATTTGAACAAAGGATTAAAATGCCTTTCATAGCATCTGGCCCCTCCTGTAGAATACCAGAAGCTAAATGCATGATGTAAAAGAAAAATAGTGCAATATAAAACCTTCTCCACAGTCTTATCAAAGCCGTTTCATCATCATTAGTCATGACTATAAAGTGGTAAATCTGTTATTTTAAACACTGCTTCCTGTCTGTCTTCCACCATAGGATCTTTGGTGTTGTTTCTAAGATCCCAGCTGATTCCGAGAATATATGCCACCTCTTTGCAGAATATGATGCTGTGCATCCAGCTTCTCACGTAGTTGACTTTATCCAGAAACTTCTTGATTTCTAAGGCTGCCACACTACTGAAATGTCTGTTTCTAGCAAATTCTTTGCCTTGTGCAGTATGCCAAACAATGTTACCTCTTCAAGCTGCTGTGTTGTATTTTGAGGCTGCGGATTGGTTTTCATCAATAGAATAGAATAGAATACTTTATTGGCGAAGTGTGATTGGACACACAAGGAATTTGTCTTGGTGTAAATACTCTCAGTATACATAGAGAAAAGGTACATTTGTTAAGATTCAAGAATTATAACGTACAACACTTAATGATAGTCATAAGGTACAATCAACAATCAAATCATACTAGGAAACAGTCAATATAAATAGTAAGGTTACAAGCAACAAAGTTACACTGCTACAATCAGAAGTGGGAGGGGATGGGTGATAAGGAGTGATGAGAAGATTAACAGTAATAGTAGTGCACACTTTGTAAATAATTGAACAGTGTTGAGGGAATTATTTGTTTAGCAGATTGATGGCTTTCGGGAACAAACTGTTCTTGTGTTCTTGTTCTGGTGTGGAGTGCTCTATAGTGTCATTTTGAGGGAAGGAGTTGAAACAGTTTATTTCCGGGATGTGAGGGGTCTGTAAATATTTTCACAGCCCTCTTTTTGACTTGTGCAATATACAGTTCCTCAATGGAAGGCAGGTGGGTAGTAATTGTTTTTTCTGCAGTCCTAATTATCCTCTGAAGTCTTTGTCTGTCCTGTTGGGTTGCAGAACCAAACCAGACAGTTACAGAGGTGCAGATGATAGACTCAATAATTCCTCCGTAGAACTGTATCAGCAGCTCCTTGGACAGTTTGAGCTTTCTGAGTTGGCACAGAATGAACATTCTTTGTTGTGCTTTATATAGAATACCAATTAAGATTGTTGGTATCAATCTTCATATTCTCTAGACAAAAAAATAATTGCTGGGAAGGGATTGATCAATGTGAAACAATAATCAGGCTATTTAATACCTTCTCCGTCTGTTACAATAGAATAGAGAACAACAGAGAACCAGAAGCATGCTCTGTCCTATCTGCAGATAGACTAGCATTATATTTTCTGATCTTCTGTTTTCTCAAAAACCTATCAGTCTTATTGGAAAGGATACTTTTTACAATTGATGTTGCTTTTTTTGGTAATAACTCAAGTACTGGGAATAAGATTGCTAATAATGATGTAATAGATTATTGACACCATTTCAATGCCTTTTTTATATACAGTATATTATGTTTCATTTCTTCATTTATTGTAATGGCCAGTGGGGCAGTCCAATAAACTAAATTTGCAAGCTACTTTGCGCTGAAATAAAATTGAAATGTAACAAACATGTAACTTTACCCTTAAAAAATCCAAAGCAGGAATCTGTCATGGCAATACCTACTCTGACTTTGTCGTTAATGAATGAAACAACTATTCAATCTTGTTTCCCTACTTTGTAAGGAAGTCTTTAAATACTCAAGGTTTCAACATCCTTTTTGTTGTTGTTTTGTCATCAGAAAGTTATTTCCATCATTACACAAAAATACTCGCCTTTTTCTTATTGCTTCAGTTTTTGGTGTTTTTCACATATACTCCCTTTTACATGGCCATTGGTCTCAGTAATGCATCAGAGAATTATAAGCAAATAGGATGCAATGAAAGAATTAAGTATTAAGAAAAGCATGAATGTAGGAGTTTATCACTTCTTTCCATCCTGCTTGGAACTTGCTATAATTGATTTACATCAGGCAAAGCATCTTCATGAGTTAAACTCCAAAAGTCAATAATCACCAGCTAATATAAGAGTTGGTCCAGTATAGGTAGTCTTCAACTTACAACAGTTGACCATTTAGTGACCATTTGAAGTTACAACAGCATTGAAAAAGTGACTTATGATCATTTTTCACACTTACAACCATTGCAGCATCCCCATGGTCATGTGATCAATATTCAGTCATTTGGCAAGTGACTCATACTTCTGACAGCATCTTGGGATCATGGGATCCCTTTTTGTGACCTCCTCACAAACAAAATCAATGGGGAAGCTAGATTCCACTTAACAACCTGTGTTACTAGGTTAATGATTGCAATAATTCACATAACAGCAGTGGGGGAAAATGGGGCAAAACTCACTTAACAAATGTCTCACAGCATAAATCTTCGGCTCAATTGTGATCGTAAGTCGAGGACTGCCTATGTATTGATTGAAAAAGTGGCATGAGGTTAAGAAAAGCTGTCCTATAGGAGACTTTTTACAACTTGTGGTTACTGTATGATTGCCATTAGAGGCTCAAGCATTTCTGGGGCTTGGAGCACTTTTTAACTCTTAAGCTAATACACTATGTATGTATTACTTCAATAAAGAGCTGACTAGGGTCACATTTAGTTCTATATTTAGTTCATAAAGGTGCAAGAGGCCATCCTGATCAGTGTGAGAATTGAAATTAAAATTTCCCAGACAGAGAGCTGTCTAGCTGCCAATAAAGGAAAGCCCACTTCTTTTTACTGTCAAACTATTCTTGTCCTTAAAAAGCTTTTTTCAATACTCAATAAGACTGACTTCCTGTCACTGAAATCCAGTCTTCCATATCCTGCTTAAATGGGGTTTTTGCTCAATAACCCACAAGTGGCAAAGTTGACAAATCATACAAACAGCAAGCATAATTCAGGAACCTTTCTGACTGGGTTCTCACAGGCATTAAGCCAGGGGCAAGCAATCTTTTTGAGTTGGAGGTTATATTTAAACCTAACCCAAAATTACTGCACAGGAAAGTGATTTGTTCACAAAAGGTTGCCTCAATGGTTGTGGCCAGTCAAAGTGTGGTCAGCTTTCTACTCTGCTAAGCCATAGTTATCAATCAGAATAGAGCTGGAAGGGACCTTAGAGGTCTTCTAGTCCAGCCTCCTGCTCAAGCAGGAAACCCTACACCATTTCAGATAAATGACTGTCCAGTGTCTTTTTTAAAATCTCCAGTGATGAAGCATCCACAACTTCTGAAGGCAAGCTGATCCACTGGTTAATTGTCCTCACAGTTAGGAAGATTCTCTTTAATTCCAGATTGCTTCTCTCCTTGATTAGTTTCCGTCCATTGTTTCTTCTCCTGCCCTCAGGTGCTTTGGAAAATAAATTGATCCCCTCCTCTTCATGGCAGCCTCTCAAATGCTGGAATGTCTTTCTTTTCTCTAGACTAGCCAAACCCTGCAACGTTCTTCATATGTTTTTATCTCCAGATCTCTAATCATCTTGCTCTTCTTTGCACTTTTTCTAAAGTCTCAATATCTTTTTTGTAATGTGACCAAAACTGCATGCAGTATTCCTGACGTGGCTTTACTAAGGCTTTGTAAAGTAGTACTAATATTTCAGGTGATTTTGATTCTATGCCTCTTTTATACAACCAAGGATTGTATTAGCTTTTTCAGCTGCTGCCATACACTCCTGGCTCATATTTAAGTGATCATCCACTAGGACTCCAAGGCTAAATAACCTCAAACTGAGTTAAATTGAAATTGAGAATAAACTCAAGTCTGTTGAAGTCCACTCATAAGATCTCAAAAACATGACAACTGGAGCGTTGGGAGAGGTGGTGAAGGCCTTTTCCTGCTTTGCTTGCTTCCCAATTATAGGATGTACTTTTTTATGAATTGTGCTTGACCAGCAGCTCTCTCTGACTTTAGAAGATCATTAATATGCTTATCTTTGGCCAAAACCTATTAATTACATTGACTCTTGCTTCATTGAATTAAGGAAAATATATTTACAAATGCAAGGTAAAGTTAAGGAAAGCATATTACGGTTGCGCATGAGGTATGATGGCTTCATTGAACCATGTTCAGCTTAGTTTAGATTAATTTCTGATCATGCACCTGCCATCTTAACTTTTCCAGGACCACCACCATGCAAATGCCCTCCATGGCTGCTCCTGAAGTCTTTAGAAGACTCCTTTCATTCAAACCACAGTAGCTCAATTATTTTTATGCCCAATTCATACTGCTTCAGGTGACAAAAAGTTATGGTCTAGGTCACAGGGGTGTCCAACCTTGGCAACTTTAAGACTTGTGGACTTCAATTCCCAGAATTCCTCAGCCAGCAAAGCTGGGAGGAAGTCCACAAGTCTTAAAGTTGCCAAGGTTGGACACCCCTAGGACAAATGGAGAAAGGAGAGCCTCTTTCCATATATGTCTGAGATTTTTAGGAAGAGCTTCTTCTGAACACCACTGCATGCTGAAGTAGTACAGTAGCTTCTTTAGGAGGAGAGAACTTTTCATTGATCGTCTTGTGTTCCTTTTTCTCAGCTGTAAAACATGCTCTATAAGAAATGTCTGCTATCCCAATTTTGTTATCTTTGGGGTACTAGGCAAATTCCCTTTTTATCCTCTAAGACAGGGTTGCCAAACTCGCATCATCATGGCAGTGTCACGTGATGTATCAGGACGTTTTTCCTCTTTGCTAAATCAGGTGTGGCCAGCATGTGACACATCCGGCCTGTGGGCCACGAGCCCTGCTCTAAGACGTCATCATTGTTCTGATGTAGCATATCTCCCTCATATATTAGGATTTTTCTGGTGGTGCTTGTTTTAATCTCTGCTGATTTTAAATTGCTTTGTTAATTGATTTATTATTTCACTTTATGCATAGGGGATGTGTTTGTGTTTCATTATGCATTGCCCGTAATGATATCCAGGAATTTTTTTAAAATAAACTGAATAAATACATTTTTTCCTCGAGCCCAACTGCCAGTGACTTCATGAACTCGTCAGCGTTGTTTCCTTGGCACCAATATGAAAGTCATTTGTTTCTTCTGAGAAAATAAACAAATATATGAACCAATAAAGTATTCAGAATGAGCTATAATTTTTTGAGTTTCCTGTTATGCTTTTCTGTTTTGTATGTTTTATCAGCCCATCTGGAGTTAGTTTGTCAGCTATCAATAAAATGAAGACTTCTTTATATTACAAAAATCCTTCTAAAACTATTCTTTAACTGCTTAGAAGCTGCAACACATAAATTGAAAATGGAACAGGATATGCCTTAATTTTATGTCCTATAAACCAGCTTGGCTGGATTACATTTCCTGAGCAGATTTCATCCATTTGTGTCCTGAAGTCAGATAAAATTAACTCTTTGTTACTAGTCAATAAACTTCATTAAAAGTGGCAATAATTTAATGAGAAGGAAGGAATTGTTTCCTTGCTTCATTGATGACAAAAATTTTATAGAGTAACAAGTTAATAAAATTTTAGCCACAAAGGAAGGACATATGCTTATATAAACTGCTCTGATAACTCCATAGTTTTTTCTTCTTTTCTTTATTAAAGCTATTGATTTAGAATTAGACCACAACTTCCTGCTAAGAAACTAAATGTATTACTCTTGTGCTGCAGAGGGTGCCAATGAGTTAGATTTCTGCTCTATCCTGCTTTTACTTACTAGGCAGAACATTTAACAGGGATTTAAGTTTCTGCTAAATGCAGTCCGGTTTTGATTAAAATAATATCTCTTGCTAATGTTCAAGTCTGCTATTTTTTTCCTGGCAGATTACAATCTATTTCTCTGAGGAAACCTGGAAAGCCATTAACAAAGCTCTGCTTTTTAATTTACTCGCATTCATGATAACTCCACCTTGTTAAAACACATTTATAATGGTAAAAGAGAGCTATGAAGAGTTGAGGTGGATATCCCGGATATCAATAAAATCAATTTTCTAGATTGGCTCTTTTCCCTGACTTCCATTTTGGTCTTTTTTATGACTTGAATTAGAATTCCTTTTTCTTGACCCTTCTTCCAAATTTGCAGAAGAAGGGAATTATCATCTATATTCAGGTTTCAGTGAAATTCAGCCACAAAGGAAGGAAGTTTATATAAAACTGCTCTGATCTTAGTTCAATTTAGAAATAACTACTCATAAATTGAGAACTATAAAACAGATATATAGTAGTATATACATATACAAATACAGAGAGGGAGTGGGGAGAGAGAGATCTGATCCAAGTTCTATTGATAATGGCTGGATAATGTTTTTTCAAAATGCTCCAAGAGCATCATAAGCACTATTATAGTAATCTTCCCTAAAATAGAAACAAGGGTAGATGTAGAACCCTATTCACCCCATTACAGATATTTTGCAGAACTAGCCAGTAGAAATGCTGTTATGCCCAACCTAAATGAAACTCCTAGAAATCCTCAGAGAACAATAGTTGGCCATTGTCAAGAATTCTGGAAACAGAGGACAATTTTTCTAAAAGGTGCCCAGGGAAGGGGAAAATAGCATAAGTGATTACTTAAAGGTTTCTTCCTCATACAGGAAGTCCTTGATTTACAATAGTTCATTTAGTATCCGTTCAAAGTTACAACTGCACTGAAAAAGTGACTTATGACCATTGTTCACACTTAACAATCACTGCAGCAGTCCCATGGTCATATGATCAAACTTCAGACATGACAACTGACTCATATTTATGACAGTTGCAAAGTCCCAGGGTCATGGGATGCCCCTTTTCCACAAGCAAAATCAATGGGGAAGCCAGATTCATATAACAACTGTGTTATTAACTTAACAGCTGCAGTGATTCACTTAACATCTGTGTCAAGAAAGGTCATAAATGGTACAAAATTAATTTAACAAATATCTCACTCAGTAACAGAAATTTTGGATTCAACTGTGGCCATAAGTCAAGGACTATCTGTTTCATGTTAAATGCAGACTAAAGATATCTTATCAACATCCCAGCCCACTATGAAGGTGAAATACTTAAGAATTTGGTAGTTCCAGTTTCCCTCAGTCATTGGGCAAGTCTTGCTCTTTGAACAATGAATGATACCTTTACTGTGATGTGTTGGTTATGTGGTCAAGGGTTCCTTTCTGCCAATTCCCATTAGCCACCTGAAGCTAAAAAAAATACAACCCCTTCATATCTTTCCCAGGATTGTTCTGATTTTAGCAGTGCCGGAATCCAGCTTGTTCAAGCTCTTTTCCTCTATCAAATAGCCATCTCTTCCCACTTTTCTTCCAGCCAAATCCCCAGGCTGCAAGAGCTCTGAGATGTAGGATTCATTTGAAAGGAAGCTTTGCGATCACCTTATAAGCAACTGTGTCCTCTTTGTGGATGACATAACACTATGCAACACCGCTGACAATGCTACTGTTCTTCAAAGCGACCTTGATTATGTGTCTGAATGGTCAAACAATTAGCAACTCCAAATCTCAACCAACAAATGCTCAGTCTACACATTGGTAAAAAAAAATCAGTACACCAAATACAAACTAGGCAGATATGACCTCATTGATGATCCTCATTCTGTCAAGGACCTCGGAGTACTCATATCAAATGATCTAAGCACCGGAGCTCACTGTAACAGCATTGCCAAAAAGGCATTAAGAGTTGTAAATCTAATCTTACGAAGCTTCTCCTCCGGAAATATCGAATTGCTAACTAGAACATACAAAACTTTTGCTAAAATACAGCTCTTCAGTCTGGAATCCGCACTGTATATTAGACATTAATACAATTGAGAGAGTCCAGAAATATTTCACTAGAAGAGTACCACACTCTTCTGCTCTCAATACCCTATATCAGTGGTCGCCAACCAGTGAGCCAGGGACCACTGGTGGTCCGTGAGAAAATTTTGGTGGTCCATAGAGAAATGTCACCCCCAAAGCATCCCCCAAAGCAATTAATCCAGGCTGTGTGGAAACACAAGGCTGTGCTGCCCACATGGCCCACGGGAACACAAGGCTTGCATCACTTGCATTGTGAACAATGCAAGGTAGTGAGGGGAAGGGGGAAAGGGTGGAGGGGAGGAACTTGCCCCACTTGCCTCATATGCCTTGCCTGGCCACCTGGCTGCTTTTTTCCATTTCTTTCTTCTTCTGCTTTTGGCTGCATGCAAGGAATGCAGCAAAAGTCTTTCTTTCTCTCCCCCAAACTCTGCCAGAAATGAGTCTTTGGAATGCTGCAAGGCATCCTGCTCCAAGAGGCTGTACTGGCATGACAAGTCTCATAAAGACTCATTTTTGGAGGAGTTTGGAGGAGAGAAAGAAAGAGTTCTGCTGCTTCTGCTTCTCTCCTTGCATGAAGCCAAAAGTCTCTCTCTCTCCTCCTGAGAACGAAGTTGGAGATGGTATCCCACGATCCCAAATAAAGAACGATCGATCGGTAGGAAAACAGGGTGAGGAATTTTCCTGCAGACTGTTTTTGGGATTTTCCCAGAGTCTTTGGTCTGCAGGATTTCAAATTATGAGTTTGGTGATGCCTGAGGTCCAAAGGGTTGGCGACCCCTGCCCTATATCACCAGGCTTGAGATTTTGGGTTTGGACAACCTTGAACTAAGACTTAAGCATAGTACACAAAATTATCTGCTACAATGCCCTACCAGTTCAATGACTACTTCAGCTTCAACCACAACAATACAAGAGCACACAACAGATACAAACTCAATGTAAACTGCTTTAAACTCAGTTGCAGAAAATACGACTTCAGCAACAGAGTGGTCAATGCCTGGAATGCATTAGCTGACTCTGTTGTTACATCCTCTAACCCCCATTCCTTTAACCTCAAACTATCCATTATGAACCTCATCCCATGCCTAAGAGGCATGCATAAGTGCACCACTGTGTCTACCATCCCTGTCCTATTGTCCCAATTTATTCATACCTATTTCCTGTATTCTTATTCATGTTTATACTTATACCTATTATCTTGTAAGTGATTGACAAATAAATAAAATAATAAATAAATAAATAAAATGATCTTAGTCAATTCACCAGTCCTAAGAATGGGGGGGGGCATGCATGGGGGAGAGGGTAAGTGGCTCTTTAACCCCAAGTTCTCCTGGATCAGAAAATTGGGGGCTAGTTCTGCTAAAGTAGAGCCACTCTCACCCTCCACCCCACCCCACACACAGACTTGTCAGTCAGAGGATACAGAACAGGGGCATTTCTGACACATATGCAGCAGTCTTTTGAACTCATGTTAACAGACCTCTGGAAGACTTCTAGACATTTTTCACTATTCTACAAGCTTTTCCAGGTAATCGTTGGGCATGGACAAAAAAGGACAGACTTATCTTGTGCTCTACCAAGAAAACAATCACACACATCCCCCCTCAAGTTCCTTTAGAGCCTACCCAACTAACACAGTTGGGAGCTCAATTCCTAAGGGAAGGGGTTTTGCTTGGGAAAGCATTGGGAGAGAATAGCCAATTTTACTAGACAGAACCACATATATATATATATATATATATATATATATATATATGGATTTTTGGTTGTTCGGGTTTTCTCCCGCGTAAGATTCAAAGTATCTAGGCAACGTTTCGATGAAGTCTCATTCATCATCATCAGGCCTCTGTCTTCGGCTCTTGCTTTTCAGAGTGATGTGAGATTGCAGCTGCTTTTTTCTTTCCAACTGCCAGTGGGGGTGGGACTTGATTGGGTGGGGGCTTGGCTGTGTTCTGATTGGGTGGGGGTGTCTTCTCATTGGTGGGGGGTCTGGCTGTGTTTTGATTGGTTGGGGGGTTGGCTGTGTTCTGATTGGCTGGATTTCCTGCTGCCCGGCTTCGAGTTTGAGGTCGCGCTGCATCTCCATAGTGGATCCCCCCAGAATGCTGTTTTGATGTTGTG